CCCTGCTCAGTGGGAAGCCTGCTTCTCCCTCTCCCACTCCCCCTGCTTGTGTTCCCTCTCTCGCTGTCTCTCTCTCTGTCAAATAAATAAATAAATTCTTTAGAAGTAGAAAGCCACATTTTGAATTGTGATAAGTCAAAGGAAAAGGTGGTAAAGCATAGAAACAGAACAAGATCTGATGTGAAAGCGAGCACTCATAAAGCCATGAAGTGACGTCCCCAGAAGCGTGAAGACTGGCAAACCACACATCCAGCTCTGGGGTCGTTCACAGCAAAGACACAATCTAATACGTCTGACTGGCTGAAATCAAGATGTGTATAGATCAAAAGAGTGCAGAAGAAAAAGCAAGAGAAAAGGAAGGAATCCCTTGTGGACACTCAAAATTAAGGAGTAACATGGGAAGGGAGGAAGTCCCAAGAAAGAGATTAAAGAAGGAGCAGTCAAGAGCTCAAGAGGGAACCAAAAAATCATTCTCTGTAAATCTGAGGTCCAATGAAAGCTAAATATGAAAAACAACAGAGAAGAAACCACGGAAAACAGGGGGCCTACACAAAGACGTGTCTAACAGAGATAAGGATGTACGGATGATGAAGAATGGAGGCAAAGAAACTAACAACCAGCATGGCAGTTTATGCACAGTTTGTTATGTCAAAATGGAAAGGAGACAGCGGTTGGATGGGTAGCGAGGAATTTGAGCATGATAAAAGACAGAAGGACCCAGAAGAAAGAGAAGAAACTTTCGATAAGCAGGTGTTATCAACACATCTGGCAAAAGCTCCTTTTGAACCAACTCCCAACTTTCTCCTTTGCAACTCTGCAACTTACCAAGGTCAGAGAATGATGCCACTTCTGATGGAAGAACAAAGGGATTACTTCAGGTAAGAATATGGATGTATTTAGACTGTGACACAGTACAGAAAATAGTAAGGATGCTTCCATAAAAAAAGAAGGGGAGACAGAGCTAGGGCTGAGGAGAGCATCCTTCAGTGGCACACAGCAGTGTTAGGAGACAGCCACGAGGATGAGACGTTAGCTCCTAGGCACTATGTGGGTAGGAAGGGACAGGTTTTCACTCACTTATCACTATTGGCTATCTTGCGGAACTCGCGAACAGTCATGGCTTTCTTCTGTATGTTGTACTGAGTGAAGAGGCCAGACTGCCCCGTTACCAGCTGCTGGATGGGGGCAGGAATGACCAGATCATCAATATCATCATAGGATGCTCGTGGCTTCCACTCCTTTGGAGGAACGACCTGTAGGGAACACAAGAAACAGATCAGAAACCTGGCAAGCTGGTCACAGTCCAGGATGTAGGTAGGCTGCTATCCAACCAGTCGATTTTACTATAAAGTGACTCTGATTTAAGCACGCTCACCCAAACATAGCAAGTCACACTGCTGGGCTAACCCTGACCCAGTTTGGCCACCAACTAGCTGCCTCGCTGCAATGACCAAAGATAATACTCATTCTCAGCTCAGTATCTTATCTGGACACCAAGACAGGAGGCTGAGGAGTTGATTCTCTCTTAATATAACAGAAAGTGCACACAAAGAGCCAACTTGCTCTCAGAGTGCTAGATAAGACTGAAATGAGAACAAGGGAAGGTGGAGGGTATAAGCCCTCAGTGACAGGTAAAAACACTAAAGCACCCATCTCCACCATGAGGATGGAAGCAGCACAGCAGCTGGACCTGGGACACTGTCTCTTTACTTCCCTTTAAAGAAGCCAAGCGGCTCTCTCTCAGCTCTCCTGCTACCTAAAAGATGCTTCAGATGTTAACGAAAGGAATTAACTTGCAAATAGGACAGTATATACTCAACACCCTGCCTGGTTTTCATCCGCCATTTAGGAAAAATTCCTGCTGCCCTGTCACAAAAGCCATGTGGAACAACCCCACCCACCCTCACCTTGGCCAGCCCAGCCCGATGAGCTCCTTGGGATTCAATGTAGGCCATGTATCGACTGAAGTTCCGGAACTCCTCCATGGTTGGGTAAAAGGTCATTATCCGAGCACTGGGATTCAGAGTTTCAGATTCAGAAGCCATCTTCCCTCCTTTTTGAGGTCACTTTGGTCAGACAAGAATCTGAAGAAATACATTAAGAACATAAAATGTAACTAGGATTAAATGCTGGGAATGTCGGGGGGGATGGGTAAATGAGTGATGAATATTAAGGAGGCAGGGCACTTGGGATGAACACGAGGTGTTGTAAGTAAGTGATGAATCACTAAATTTTACACGTGAAACTAATATTACATTGTATGTTAACTGACAGGAATTTAAATAAAACTTGAAAAAGAAAAAAAAAATGCTGGGAATGTCAGGGCTGAAACAGTAAAAGGTGTAGAAATCCTGAAAAAACATTAAGACCTCACAGCTGGAATCTGCCTCTAGGTAGGTTATTTAAGTGAACAAGAACACAGATAGAAAAGGCTCTGTTTAGGGCGCCTGGGTGGCTCAGTTGGTTAGGTCGTGATCCTGGAGTCCCTGGATCGAGTCCCGCATCGGGCTCCCTGCTCGGCAGGGAGTCTGCTTCTCGCTCTGACCCTCCCGACCCTCCCCCCTCTCATGCTCTCTCTCTCTCAGTCTCTCTCTCTCAAATAAATAAATAAAATCTTAAAAAAAAAGAAAGAAAGAAAAGGCTCTGTTTAAAAGAATCAAATGTATCAAAATTGTATATAATCAAATCTCATTTAAATGTAGACACTGTTTCAGCTCAAAGTTGTTACTAGATTGTTGGTACCACTGAACAATACTAGAGCTGCCCTTCCCCTATTTTACTCTTATCTTTTCAAGTTCCTCCCTTATTCACCTTTGATAATTGCTTCAGGAGGTATTAAACGATGTATTACAACAAGATTTAAAAAACAACCTATGGGCTCCCTTTTAGGGCACAACTTTAAAACAATTCCTAAGGAAAGTTACTTGGCTACAAGATTACAAAGTTTAACCTTACTTGGCTACAAGATTACAAAGTTTAAGAGTTAAAAAGTACTCTGATACTAGTATTTCAAACCCTAAAATGAAATTGTTCTACCTAAACCAAAATGTCATTTCATCAGTACTACATGAGGTCAAGCTAGAGAGTCCAACGGTACCATTCCCAGAATTCAAAGGACAAAATGTAAATGGGCAATAAACTGCCAATACAGGGAAAACTTCAAACTGACTGTAAAAGGTGAAATACTGTGTTTCTAGATGAGGCCTGCAACTAAGTGGGGGCATCCCCATTGCCTGATAACACAATAGACTATTCCAACTGAGTAAGAACCAAGCACACCAGCTAAAAGGAGCCACTTTAGAAGCAAAAACATTTCCCTCCTCGACTCCCCGAATCTGGGCCCCAAAACCCAGATCCAAGAGATCCCTTTGAGAGCTAGAGAACTCAGAAGGGAAGCAATTGCCTCCAACCTACCAGCAACCTACTAACAGACTAGGAAGACAGCATGGCACAGAACTGTCTAAGGTAGGAAAGAAGACAAGCCTCAGTACCCACATCTCTCAAGCTTCCATTTCACCAAAAATAAAGAAGTGTGTTCTCGGCCAGGAGCTTTTCATGCATCTCACCAAAACTTTACATAGGAGGTATATGGTTATCCTCGTTTTACAGAGCAAGACATCTCCCCACCATCCTGCAATGCACCCCAGTGCTTCTTCCATTACCCTATGCTGCCTACATCATAATTTCCACCTAGACTAAGCCCTTTGCAAGGGCAGATCCAAGTGTGGAAGAACCTCAAGTTTAACCAATTTTGAAGACCCTCTTTTTTAAAAATACAGAATATCTTACTTCAGCCAATTTTACAAAAACATAATCATGTGAACACGGTGTTAGGTCCCATCGCTAGGGCCTGCCTCTGGACTTCGTCATCTTTGTATGCCTAGAACCTAGAACAATGCACAGCACAGAGCAGATACTCGGTAACTGTTGAATAACTGATTTCCTCGCCCCCACTTCAGTTGCTCATTGCCTTTTTTCAACCCTAGGATACCTTTCCCCCAACCTATTCCCTGGGGAAAGCTCCTGTTCCCTGACTCCTTCATTTCCCCCATTCAGCAACAAAGCCTAGTGGTTTAAGAGCAGCAGTTCCGGAATCAAAACAACTCTGAATTCAGATCCGGTTTCTGCCACTTATTAGCTGTGTGACCTTGGCTGTGTGAGTTGCTCGAGTCTCAGTTTCCCCGCCTGTAAAATGGGGATCCCAACCTCCTTGCCCAGCAGGGTTGCTATGATTAACTCAGATGATGCAAGCGAAACGCTAAGCACTAGGCCCGGTACTTAGTAACTCAATAAAGGTCGCTGTTGCTAACAACTACCTCTAACTCCCGCCCCCTCCCCTCGCAGCTGCCCCCGCGGGTACCACTCCCAAGGCAGACCCCCGCTCCCAAGGTCCCCGAACCTCACCGCGTAGACGGCCAGCCCCTCCCGGCCCCGCCGCCTAGGCGAGTGAGGCCCGGCCGCAGGAAGAAGAAAATAAGGTCCAGTACACCCGCCTCCCTTCCCGACGTGCATTGGCCATAAGAGATTAGAAAGGACCAATCTCAGGACCCATTTTAGAAGCTCCTGTTCCCATTAGCCAAGAACCATGTCTATCACTCACCGCTGACGGCAAACCCTCTGCCCCTCCCCCCACCGGAGCTCACGGTCACGGCTCCAGCAGCAACAAACCTAAACGATTCCAAAACTGTACGGTTCTTACCTAAAGCCCACTGCCCCGGCAGGGCTAAGGCTTGGCTTCTGCTGTCGCCACTAGCCGTACCTACCGCTTTTCCAGCCGGCGGAGGACGAAGCTCCGCCTCCTCTACAAAGTCTGCCCCTGCGCAACCGCACAGCGTCAACCAATCTGAGGGCCGCTATCACTCCTCAAACAGCCAATGAGCACGCGCTGCAGTCGCCCAAAAGTCCGGGCATATCAGTCTGCTCAACCTATGAACGCCGGGTCGGGCTGTTGCCAGGAGGAAACACTGTACCGCTCGGGACTGCGGCCACTGAGCATCTTGGCTGAATCGCGGGGCTGGCCAATCATAGGCAGGCTTCTGGCCGCCCAAAGCTAATCAGGATTGAAAGAGGCGAGTGCCTGGAAATGGGATGGTCGGCAAGGGTAGGGACAGTGCAATTATTGTAGGATGTTACTAATGAAAGCGTGGGGCAGGGTCTTTGTAGAGTGAGTAGGACCCTTGCCTAAGGTGGAAGTGCGCTGCGAGCCCTTACGGGCAGCTTCCGAGATCAAGCAGTTTCTGATAAGGTGACCAGCTTGTCCTGTTTTGCCCGAGATTGCCTTGGTTGTGAAAATTGAAAGTCCCGTATCCTGGGAAACTCTCATTCGCCGGCCAATGAGACATTTCCTGAAAGGAGCAGTTCCTGAAGGGGAAAGAGCTCTGAGGGGGGAATGTCCTTAGGGTCATTAAAAAGCAGTTCTTCAATGAGCGGGGACTTGGGGGTCATTAGGAGCAGCTCTTGGGGCGGGGGAGAAGATCCTGGGAGTCATTAGACGTACTTCTGGAGAGTTAAGGGGGTACCTAGAAGTCATTAGGAACTGTTCCTAAGGGGCACTGAGTCGCCCTAAGGAGCTCCCAGATTATCACGGATGATGGGCTAGGAAACCTACAAAACGCTCTGATAGGTCCAATAGAAAAGTAGAATTCTCAAAACCGGAATCATAAAAAAAAAAAAAAGTCTAAAATTATACCCCTAGATGAGTAATGGTGTAGTGCACTCTAAAGAGCTATGGAGTCAGATCTGTGTTCAAAATCGGTCACTCCTCTGAGCCTGGGTTTTCCCATCAGTAAGATGGAAAATATAATACCTGCCTTGCGGGATTGTTGCAAAAAGGAGGGGAAATATATGTTGGCAAAAAGGATGATATTACCTAGAGTGGCATGGAGGTAGATCAATCATGATTTATTCCCCTGGGGCTGGACACATGCACCCTAAGAAAAAACAAAAACAACAAAACACCACAATAAAGCAGAGTTCTGTTTCAGAAAAAGACAAGGGAATGATCACTGATCGTTGGGTAGGCAACCAATAGTCTCAAAACAATTACACAGTTTTTCTCTCTTGACCTAGTAAGATAGTATATTAGCTAATAGACTATATTGGGTAGCTCACAAAATTGTTAAGAGCCTGAAGAATTCAACTTGGAGGACACATAATGAGGAAAACCACCCCAAATCATGCCAAAGAATTCATCTACCGCTCTCCTTGCTGCTGCCACCAAACAAGATGCTACAGCATGCCTTACAGCTCCACTGACCTGGGCATGGATACAGTTGCTAGTACTGCTATCACTACCAGCTACTCTGTGAATTTGATCTTGCTACATTTTCTGCCGCTGCCAAAGAGGATTTTCCAAGATCACGGCTACTTTGTATCACTAGCTTCCAATTGGTGTGCTCACATGATAGTTCAAGCCTAGGTCAGGCTCTCTTGACATCCTCCCATTCCCTTGACCAGTTTGTCTTAGTCACCTTTTTAAGCCCATCTTTCCCACCCCTTAAATGTTGATATTCATAGCAAAACTAATCATGGCGAAAGAAGCCAAAGGTGGGGTTACCTTTGGGTGGAGGACAGGGAATGATGGGGTAGTAGCATAAAGAATGCTTCTGGAGAAAAAAAAAAAAAAGCTTCTGGGGTGTTAGGGTGTTACTAATGTGGGGGGATCTTTCTAGTTGGGTTTTGTTGTTGTTGTTGTTTTGTTTTGTTTGTTTTAGTAATGTTCTGTTTCTTGATGTGGATGGTGGTTATTACACCGGTGTGTTCACATTTTAAATTTTCATTGAGCTGTACACTTATAAGTGGTCCATAACAGTCAATGTACTTTATACCTTAATTTTTTTAAAGATCTTCTTTTTTTAATTTTTTTTTAAAGATTTTATTTATTTGACAGAGAGAGACAGTGCGAGAGGGAACACAGGCAGGGGGAGTGGGAGAGGGAGAAGCAGGCTTCCCGTGGAGCAGGGAGCACAATGTGGGGCTCCATCCCGGGACCTGAGCTGAAGGCAGAAGCTTAACGACTGAGCCACCCAGGTGCCCCTAAAGATTTTATTTATTCATTTGTCAGAGAGAAAAAGAGCACAAGCAGGGGCGCGGCAAGCAGAGGGAGAAGGAGGCTCCCCGCTGAGCAAGGAGCCCGATGTGGGACTCAATACCAGGACCCCAGGTGTCCCCAAAATTAATTTTTAATTAAAAAAATTTTTTTAAAGAGGGGCGCCTGGGTGGCTCAGTCGTTAAGCGTCTGCCTTCCGCTCAGGTCATGATCCCACAGTCCTGGGATCTAGCTCCGCGTCGGACTCCCCGCTCAGCCGGGAGCCTGCTTCTCCCTCTCGCACTCCCCCTGCTTGTGTTCCCTCTCTTGCTGTGTCTCTCTCTGTCAAATAAATAAATAAAATCTTTAAAAAAAATTTTTTTTAAAGAACTGAATATATGTTGATGTCCTCACGGCGCTCCGTCTTTTGCCCTCTTCTCTCATTCTACAAACTCTCCTTAGGTGTTTCTGATTTCACAAGCCACTGGCAGTATGACCTGGGGCAAGTTACTTAACTTCTCTAATCCTCAATTATAACTAAAATTGGAACGGTATTTCCCTTTCTTGGTTGTGAGAGCTGAATGAGATAATGTAGGTAAAGTACTTAGAAGTCAAATTGGCGTGTATTAAGTGCTCTGTAAATGTTAGCTGTGGAATGGATGATGGTGGTGGTGGTGGTAATAATACAAAGCGCTTAACATAAAGCCTGAAACAAGAGCTCAAAACACTTAAACTCTCAGGCTTCACTCATGTGTATACTGACGACATCCATTCTATACTCCAGCACAATCTTCTCCCCTGTGTTCAGATCCAAACATCCTCCTATCTCTGGATTCCTACGGGCACCTAAAACCCACATGCCCAATAAAGAACTAATGTATCTGCCCCACAAATGAGCTCCACCTCTTAGGTTTTCTAGCTCAGTTCGTGGGGCAGCCATCCACCCAATCGCCTGAGCCAGAGACCAGTGTGTAAGCAGGGACTCCTTGATGCAGTCCATTACCTCACCCTGTACAGAGTCCCAGAAACAAGTATTCCACAAGTGCCTGGATTTATTTACATGTCCATCTTCCTCCACTAGACCAAATCTTTCAAGAGTCTCACTTCAGTCTTACTGATATTATCATTTAGGAATGTGTTCCATTACCAGAAATAGGAAACCCTAGCAACAGTGACTTAGATAAATACAAGGTTTTTTTCCTCATGTGTAATAAGTCTGAAGGGAGGTATTCATTGGCATTGGCTCAATGCTCAACAAAGTCACCGAAGAGACAGGCTGCTTCCACCTTTGTCCGTACTTCACAACCTGGCTTTGGCCCTCAGAGGTGTGCATCTCATCGTTGTAAGGGGATTGCTGAAGCTCCAGACATCCCATCCTCATTCATGGGGATAAGGAAGAAAGGACAGTATCAGCAGCAACTACTCCTCCTCTCAGACCCAGCAAAAAGTCTTAAAATGGGGTGCTTGGCTGGCTCAGTTGGTGGAACATCTGACTCTTGATCTCAGGGTATTGCGTTTGAGCCTCACATTGGGTGTAGAGATTATTTTTTAAAAAGTTGTTTTTAGGACGCCTGGGTGGCTCAGTTGGTTAAGCGACTGCCTTCGGCTCAGGTCATGATCCTGGAGTCCCTGGATCGAGTCCCGCATCGGGCTCCCTG